TTTTATTTTAAAGGTAAGTGTAATTTTTACTTATTAATTATGTTTAAAAGAAAACGATTTGTTTCTAAGCGCCATCAACAGAGGAAGGTTACGAAAAACGTAGAGAATATTGTTGAAAATATTAATAACTTCGGTAGGTATTCCATCTCCTTCAAACTTTTATTGGGAATCCCTGACTGATCATTCATTTCAAATAGTTCAGGTTACAATACTTCCGATTTAAACTTTTTATTAACATGTTAAGTACCTAAAATAATGCAAATTACCACGTGGACGACCATTCCGGTGATCCTTTACAAAGCTCTTCTTTCAATGAAATTGAAGAAATGTCTAAACATGGTTGTAACGAGAATTCTGGAGAACCTTATCGAGATGTTTTTAATTTTTCTAATAAGTTATTCAACTGGACTTTGTCCTTTAATGGTGATTTATTCTTCTTCTTATGGTGCCTTATCTAATTAGTGGATGTTAACAACAATTATGGCATACTCCTCTCGATCTTGTGTGGCTCTAAAAAGTGCATGTGGAATCGTGGTTTGTCCTATCCCTTATGTAGGTGATTTATTAAAAATTCATAAAGAAGTTCCTGACTTTTCTCATTTGAGTTCAAATACTAGTACCCTTCTTGCTTCGCTTCACCCAGAAAACAAATACTCTGATCCATATGATTCAAATTTCAATGGTTTTTTTATCTTCACAAAAAAACAATGTTATAGAAATTTGTGTACATTTTGATGGAATCCCACTAAAAAAAGAGTTTTAGTAGTCAGTCATATCCTATCTTGTTTATATATCCTAAAATTGTAGATTTAATAGGCATTTACCATGGTTATCAGAAACCAAAATTTGCAAATGAATGTTTGATTGATTTCGTAAAAGAGGCTGTTTTTTTATTAGATAGTTTAAGCTAAAATAAATAAGCATGGATGATCAAGTTTGTGGGGTAGTTAGATTACTGTTACATGTTGATTTATATTTTAGGATAATGAGCTTTCCAAAATTGGTGAGGAGACCATAAATGAATTTGTTAGGAGAAGCCATAAGAAGCTGATCTGGAATAAAATTCAAGGAAAAGATAGTTGGCTAGGGAAAACGCAATATAAAGTTTTTGAGGACACACATATAGCTCTGATTTTAAAAGGTTTGTAACTTATAAACATAAATCAATTTAAGGTGCATTTAAGAATTTACACTATCACTTAAGTGGCCACATACAGCTGATTAAGCATATTGTTAACTGTGTCTTATATGTAATTTAGATGTCAAATTTTACCAATTCATAAATGTTCAGGTCTGGCTATGAGATTGCTTTAAGAACTAAAGCTAGCTTATGAGATAAAGGTTTGTTGTTGGCCATATATTTTATTTATACAGTTATTTTTATTTTTTACATATAAAAGTGTAATTACTGCTCATTTGGTCATTAGAAATAAATACCAATGGTTGGGTTGGTATTCTTCTAATTCAGGTGAGATTCATTAAAACTACAGGACTTGAAATTCGTGTGTTTAATTTTACTTTGAATTATGATTTATTCACAAGAAGCAAAGTATAATGAACTAAATCTGAAATTAGTTTATTCAATTTATGAATGTACATTAATTTTGTTTTCAGATGTTGCTTGGAAAAACTCCAAACCAGCATTGCCATGGGGAAGGAAGTTGAAACTTGATAATGAAATATCTGAGGAAATATTTAAAGAGAGGGCAGATAAAATTTAACTTGCATGTTGCATTAGCAAATATGATTAATTTTGTAATGATTAAATTGTGTAGTTCATGGACACAAAGGAACAGTCCAATTTTTGAGACTTTTATATATTAAAAATAAATGCCTAAAAATTAATCTACTGTTGAAAGAAAACAGACAAAGTTCCATATTAGGTATTGATCTTTTTCATACTTATGATTTCAACTTTAAAACTCAACAATTGACTTGTCTGCTTTTAATTGCTGACCACACAATTGTAAGGGAAATCAGAATGGGAAGGGATAAGGGAAGTTGAATGGTTCTGTTTTTAAGAACCATAATTTCAACAATTTTGTCAATTTCTTTAGCAGTATTCACAATCCTTCTTTCTCTTGTGTAGACAAGTGTAGTCAAAGATCCCATATCAGTAACAGCCATATTCACTCTTTTAACTGTTAAAATTTGTGACGCATGCTTACAGTGTACAGCTTAATACCAATAAAGGTCTTCATCATCATCAATCAGCCAATTGCGTCCACTGCTGGACATAGGCCTCCCTCAGTTCTTTCCAGTGATCTCTACACTGGGCTGCTTGTATCCAGTTTCCCGCTACAAGTTTAATGTCATCGGTCCATCTAGTCAGTGGTCGTCCTCGGCTTCTTTTATAATTTCTGGGCCTCCATTCCATAATACGTCTTGTCCACCGTCCATCTTGTGTTCTGACTAAGTGCCCTTCCAGTTCCACTTAAGCGTCGTGGTTTTTTTCGATGACGTCTTGAACTCCTGATCTTCGCCTGATTTGTTGGTTTGTTATGTGGTCTCGAAGGCTCACGTTCAGCATTGCACGTTCCATGGCTCGTTGTGTAACTCTAAGTTTATTCGCAGATTTTTGCGTGAGTGTTAAAGTCTCTGCTCCATAAGTTTGTACAGGTAAAACACATTGGTTATAAACCTTTCGCTTGAGACACATGGGAATTGAACTTTTTAGAATATGGCTTAATTTGCCAAATGCTGCCCATGTTAGACCTATTCGCCTCTGTATTTCATGTGTTTGATTGTCTCTGCTTATTTTGATTTCGTGTCCCAGATATTTGTAAGTGTCTGTTTGTTGTATGGTATTATTGTCAATAGTTATATTTCCACTCATTACGAGATTTGTTATAATTTTAGTTTTCTCAAAGTTTATCTTTAATCCTGCTCTTTCAGACAGACTTTTAAGCGAATGCATCATAGAAACTGTATCTTGTAAGTTATCTGCGATGAATACAACATCATTTGCAAACCTTAGGTGATTTAATCTTTCTCCATCTATATTGATGCCCATATTTTGCCATTGAGTACCCTTAAATATTGACTCTAGAGCTGCCGTGAACAATTTTGGTGAAATATTGTCTCCTTGTCTAACTCCTCGACCTAAGCTGAATTTTTCTGTGTCTTTGTGAAGTTGTATACTTGATGTAGCGTTCTGATTATTTATTCTGATGTTTTTGATTATTGTCGTGTACGTGTAATCTATTCGGCTTTGATTTAGGTTTAGGTTTAGGATATAATAAAGGTCTTGGTCCAGACATAATATCTTAACTTATTTTTAGGGAATTGTGCATTCTTTTTATGTAGGCATCTATGGCTTATTTTTATAAATCTCTGACTGAGGGTCACTTTTCATCACAATTTATTTATTGATTTTATCCTTAACTCATTGATTCGTAATTATCGTTCCATTATAATTCTTTCTGCTATTCCTAAAATTGTCGAGGCTTTACTGACTGATTTTTTGACAGTAAATTTGAAGAATCAGATTCATACTGGTCAGCGTGGTTTACTTACTGTCTAGTCGTTCAACTTCAACTGATTTATACTGATTATATTATAATTGCATTAAAAACCATTTTTATGTTGATTAGATTTATACTGACTCATCTACAAGCATCAGCTGTTCTTGTAAATTGTGTAGACCATATTCTTATTCTGATATGATCAATTTCTTGAATCTGGATTTCTCTTATCAAAAGTGTTACCTTTTAATCTTTATTTTTCAACTTGTTTATAAAATAACCAATCTACTGAATTGCTTCAGCTAGTTTGTTTTCATATTCCTTCCCATTCACTGTGTCAGAATTTATATTTCCATGTTCCTTACCACAGAACTAATTATGTTTCACACATAGAGATGGTCTAAAACTTTCACATCAATAGCTTTAGGTACTATTTGAAGCACTTAAATGCTAAATGAAACTTATTATAAAATGTGTACTTATTTATTTTATTCATGTATATTTTATTTTATCTGTAATTTTGTCTATTTTTCTATAATGTTGCATTTTTGTATAATTTTGACAGTGAATTTGTTCCATTTGTTAATAATAAATAAATATATGTAATAATAAATGTTAGTTCCTTTAAACATTTATGTTTATTACACAATTTGTCCCGTTTGTTAATAATAAATAAATATAAATAAATGTAATAATAAATGTAAGTTTCTTTAAACATTTAAGTTTTATTTCCCAAAATACATTCTTAATATGCACAGGATGACACCACTTTTAGTACTTTATGCAATGGCTTTGACGTCTAATTTACATCCTGAGCGCTAAAATAGATGTCCGAAAATATCACAAAAGTCCGTCAAGTAAGTTCTCTGGACGTATTATGGACGTCCGATTAAGGTCCACTTAACGTCCCGGTACGTCCATTTTACGTCCGCTCGGGACGTAAAATGGACGTCCATAGGACGTTGGCGCAGCGACATTCGGACCAATATAGGACGTAAAACGGACGTAAATAGGACCAAAGCGGACGTTCGAGGGACGTCCCTAAAGTCCGCGAGGGACGTACTATGGACGTCCACTGGACGTACATGTGCTATTAGGGAGGTAAATTGGAAATAAATTGGAAAATGTACGTTTTATGTACGTACTTCGTACAGCAAAGTGCGCACATTGTACATACTTTATGTCCCATCAGTACGTAGTTTGTCTTATGTACGTACTTGTGCTTACTGGGTGGGCTGTCAACGGCAACAGTTGACAAGTAATCAAAGAAATAGAAGCAACCTCTTTCTCATCTCTGTAATATATATTTGATACTAAAGTAATCTAAGTACAAAATAGTATTTATATCACGGGCTCAAACTTAACAATATATTCATTGAGTGAAATATGTTGAATATTCCTAGCGAACCAGAGGCAGTGATAGAAGCTGGCGATGGTATGAAATTATTATTTGTTGGCCAAATATAGGATAAACATGAAGGGGAGATATAAGAAATGCCCACCCTATTTATACGGATAAATAATAAGAAAAAATAGTAGTGGAAACTTATTGTATTTACCAAGGTACACGAGAAAAAATTACCAAACAGTAGGTGTTGGTAATTCTAATTATCTAATTCGTAAAATACATTAACGATAACCAAAAGCACAACATTTTAAAAAGAAATTTTACTATTTAAATCACAAAAATTTTAAAACTAAAACTAGTGAAATAACAACAAAACTATTTTGTACCATAAAATTTGATCTATTAATACATCCTAACGTCTCATTAACAATACCAGGTTTACACTGACACTCTCCATTATTACAATGTATTAGTTCTAAATGGGAGGAATCCCGAACACATTCCTCGCTGTGCGAGCACGGACCACCGAAAGTTGCAGTTCGCACACATTTTAAGTCAATGCTATGAAAACCACTATCGCATATACAGTTATTACTGAGGCAAATGCTTCCTTGAAGGCTCGCTGAGCACTGATCATTTTCAAGGCAAACGTCATTGAATCTTGTAGCAGCTGCAACAAAAATAAAAAAGTTATACGAGTAATAAAAAGACATGTAATATGGGAGACAAAAGGCAAATATAATAGTTGGCAATTATACAGGTACAGAATGCCAAATATACCGCAGAATGAAACAGGAATACGCTGTCACCCCTTATATATTCATTATTTTTTAATTTCTATTCTGATCAAATTTTTAGAAAATCTCCAGAAAACCAAGATTGTTGGATAAAATTAATCTAATAAATAATAATCTGCAAGACTTCAAGCATCTGCACTACATTGAACAGCATTACGTGAAACACGACTGGAAAGTAAGACCTAACTCGAATCTGATTCACACAACGTTTACTCAAAAGCTCTGGGGGATCCTTAGATAATTCTACTTTCACTTGATCAAAAATTTTGTCTAGGCAATTCACAAGAAAAGTAGAGCTGTTACATTTCTGGAAGACAAATTTACACATATTGATGAAGCCAAGCTAAAGACGGGTATTTTTGATAACCTCCACAGCTCTTAGAGAGCTCATACAAGACTTTAAATTCGAATAAAATATGCAGGCAAAAGAAAGAAATACTTAGGCGATGACCGGCGAGAAATTTTTGAAAATATTCATTAATTCACATTTTTAAAGCAATATTACATAACTAGAAAAAGGATAGGAAATGATCACTGCTATAAAAAGGTCCATTATTAGAGTAAATATAATAATACTCACCCTTTAGACATCTGGTCTGGTCACGTGACAAAACAAAACCAGCAGAGCATCGACAAACAGTTTTACATTGGGTATTTTCGGTTAGAGAGCACTGGTTGTCACTATCACACTGTTCTCCTATCTTTTTACCGTGTACACAGCTCATTCTGTCTGTTCCTGGTACTTCGTTATCAAATTTGCAAGTACATTTTCCATACACGCAGTTACCAAATTGGTTTGAGGCTAACCAACAATTGGGATCGCCTCTGCAAAAGTCTCCTAGTACTAAAACAAATAATGACTTAATATCACTATTGACATCAAAAAGTGATATATATATTCTATTATTGTTAATTTTATACAGGTTAATACAAGTTAAGACTATTTTTAAACCTTATTAAGAAATTAAAGTACAGTAGAAAGTTAATTTAGTATTAACTATACGTTTAGAAATCTATCACCAAAATGATTTAAAGTTTTACGATTTTCTTTATTAGTGTATTCAATATTAAATAATAATTTACATTAAGTACTGGTGATCATTATGCTAAAATGCTGAATAAATAACATATTGTAATTCTACCAATTTAAACAAACCTTACATTAGGTATGGTTCAAAAGGTGCCAATATTACTTATGTTAGTTAAAGAAAATGGAGGAAGGGGATTTTTAATTTATTTAATAAATGTAAAAGTGCAATTAGTATTAATGTAAAGGTCTATTGTTCAGATGGCGTATTTCAAATAATCATTTATGCTAAAGTATCGTTACTTCTTCAAGACATGAAAGAAGATCTACTCAGAGCTAAGTCATTTACAGAACATGCAATCATTTTCCTAAATTACGAAGAACTCTACAATGTCAATTAAACATCTGAAGATACTTCAACTTAACATAGCTTCGGTAAGACTAAGAACACACTAACTAAGGGAGATGGTAATGATGAATACTCAACTATCAAGGATCGCAAACTACGACGAATGTGGCAGAAGAGATAATCTAAATTAAAGGGGAGTATCCATATACACCAAAAATAACATCGAATGGAACCAGGTGGTATTAAACACAGAACGGTTTGGAAATGTAGGTGTCAAAATAGGTATAACTAAAATTTTTTGTGTTTACAGGAAAACATGAAACGATCTAGCTCTAGAAAAAATAGATACCATGATTAGAAAAGACGGAATGAATCTACTGAGATAATGTGAAGACAGAGACAAGATGGTATTAGCACCAGATGAACGAACAAGGATAAACCCTGATCCAATACACAACAACTCTAAGTTAGACTTACTTATCACCAAGATGCTAAGATTACCAAGAATGCAGCTTCGACCACAAACCAGTGACAGGAAGAATGACGTTAAGCATCGACCTCTTAACAGTTGAACCAGTAGAAAGATGGAAATGGAAGAAAGAAAACTGGCCAAACTACAGAAGACAACTAAATCAAATGGACATGAAGAGGGTAAGAAATAACAAAAAAATCCAGCAAGTTATGGAAGACAACATCCCTAAAGGAATGCTGAAAAACAGAGGAATAATTATACTGGACGAGCTAAAAGAAATCATCAAGGACAGAAACAGGGCCAGAAGAGCAAAGGACAAAAAGACAGGAGTTCAAGGATTACGGAGATAAACTATCCGAAGAACTAAGAAAAATACTTAGAAGTCTCAAAGAAAACAAGTAGTGGTACAACATCAGGTTAGCAGAAGAAAATCATGGATACGTATGGAAAATGCTAAAGCTCAAGCAAAGAGGAAAACAGAAAATGCCGCAAATAATAGATGTCAAGGGAACAGACTTCGATACCTAAGAAAAAGTAAATGAAATTTCAAGAAGAATGACAGCAACACACAGGCAAAACCAAAACCTGTCGGAAGCAAGAACCATCGAGGAAGTCAACACAGAATACGAGAGGATAAAAAGAAGAAACGAATTTTTAGTAGAGGAAGAAGACTACATCAATCCAACAGAAACTACTGAAATCATCAGAAGATTAAAAGGAAGCAGAGCTTCAGGAGCAGAAGGAATCCACGACATAGCTCTCAAGGAACTACCAAAGAAGATAGTAGTGCAACTCTACTATATCTTCAAATGCGGCCTGGAAAAATCGCATTTTCCGAACAACTTTAAACATGGTAAAATCATCCCTCTACTAAAATCAAGGAAGGACGGAAAAAGACCGAAAAGCTACAGACCAATATCGCTACTGGAAATAATAGTAAAAACACTGGAGAAGATCATCTACAGAAGACTGATGAATTATGCAGTAAGAAGAAAAATCATTCAGAAGAAACAATTTGGATTCAGAAGAGAACCAACTGGCAAGAGTTATTATCGACACGAAGATCAGATTTAACAGAAAACAGGAGACAGAAATGGCCATCCTAGATATCGTGAAGGCATATGATACGGTCTGGAAGAAAGTCCTAATCTACAAGATGAGCAGATCCTTAGCATTTCTTAGAGGACGCAATTTTATTTTTTTTTTGATGTGTTAAAAGGTAAGTGTCGGAAGGCTAGATATTGAGGGAAAACAAGTAAAAAGAGTGAATGACTACAAATATCTGGGAACCTGGGTAAATGAAAACAATGACCAAGGTAGAGAAATAAGGACACGCATTAAAATTGCAAGACAAGCATTTATAAAAATGAAAACGGTATTTGTTAATCGAGACCTTCCTCGGGAGCTGAGGATAAGAGCCTTAAGATGCTTCGTGTTCTCGACTTTGTTGTCTGGAATTGAAAGCTGAATACTAAATGTAAATAATATAAAGAAGTTGGAATCATTTGAGATGTCGTGTTATAGAAGGATTTTGAAAATGCCATGGACCAACGAGTTTCAAATGCAGAAGTGTTAAGAAGGCTACGAAGGAAAGGATTTCGAGGTCATAAAGCACATCAAAACAAGAAAGCTGGAATATTTAGGCCACATTACGAGGGATGCAAAATTTGATATATTAAGACTCATAATGCAAGGTAAAATCAAGGGTAAAAGATCAATAGGAAGACGAAGAATTTCCTGACTAAGAAACCTAAGAGGTATAGTTGCAGCTCAGTAGATCTTTTCAGAGCAGCCACCAATACGATACAGATAGCTGTGATGATAGCCAACCTCCGATAGGAGAAGGAACTAGGAGAAGAAGAAGGGCAAGTATAAGCTTAAGTTTAAGTTTATGGGGTCGCCACCCTGGTCTTCCGGCTGCTATCTTGGAATAAGCGGGAAAGTGTTTTCGCGCTGTATCTTGTAAACTAACAACCCAAAAAAAAATTATATATACATCGGTTTAGAACGTCTTTCGACGTTGTCCGATACCTAATCACCATCTCTTCCTATCTTCGCAGTCGTTTGTTGTTAAATTTCTTTCGCTCATGGACTTGTTTACTCCGTGTTGCCATTCTAATCTGGGTCTTCCTCTTTTCCGTCGACCAATCGGTTGCCATTCTACTACTTTTTTGGGGAGTCTTGTTGCTGGCATCCGTTGAATATGCACATACCACCTTAATTGTTTCTTCTCTATATCTTGAGTTATATTTCCTTCTATTCCCATACGTTGTTTTATTACATCATTTCTGATTCGGTCTCGTCTGGAAATACCTTAAGATCTTCTCATTGCATCCATCTCTACTGTTTCTATTCGCTTTTTGTTCTTTTCAAAAGACTGATATTTTTTGTACACACTTATGACAAGTCGAAAGAAAATGTAAAAGAGTATTTTTGAAGTGTGTATATTTTAGGCAATTCCTAGCTGAGCGCTTTCGGCTTTACAAAGCCATCATCAGAGCTATGCTACAATAAAATGTTTCTTATAAGTACTAATTGGTAAAGATTATAATTTTTTAACTTACGTCAATTTTTTAAATACCACTACAAAGGAGAGATCTCATTTCCTTATATTTCAGAATTATGATTTTTTTAGTTGTTGAAATTCTTAAAACATATAAAAAACATATAAAAAGCCAACACTGGACTTCACAAACACGTTAAAAAAATTGAAAAAAATTTTTTGTCATGGTACGGGTGTAAGAACCCGACCATTGATTGATGTGAGGAGGTAGACAGAATAGAACTAATTAAATCAAATGTCGGTCCTTTTAAACGATTTTTCAAAGTGACAGTTGACATATGTCATATATAGGAAATAGAGATTGTTTTTTAAATTCTTACAAAATTATTTAATAGTTTGGAATTACTAATAGTCATCAAAGACTTTCTAAAAATTAAGTTTTTAAATTAAATTTTATGTGTTCATCACATCATACAGAATGACATTAGTTTGTAAATTCACTCAAGTCATTGCTCAAGGTCAATGTATGTTTAATCTGACAGCCATCCTTAAGAAACAAGGGCTCAAATTGTTCAACAATAATATAAAGAAGAAACATGGTATTAATGTTACGTTATCTGATACTTAAGTGTATTGAGAATTGTATCTCAATACACAAATTTTAAACTTTATTAGAAATTTACAACATTTTGTAATTCATTTGACAGTTATTCTTAATTGAAACATGAAAATACATTCTTAAAAAAATTTGTTATGCAAATTTCTTACAAATTTCCATCAAGAGATACAATTCTCAATACACTTAAGTATCAGATAACGTAACATTAATACCATGTTTCTTCTTTATATTATTGTTGAACAATTTGAGCCCTTGTTTCTTAAGGATGGCTGTCAGATTGAACATACATTGACCTTGAGCAATGACTTGAGTGAATTTACAAACTAATGTCATTCTGTATGATGTGATGAACACATAAAATTTAATTTAAAAACTTAATTTTTAGAAAGTCTTTGATGACTATTAGTAATTCCAAACTATTAAATAATTTTGTAAGAATTTAAAAAAACAATCTCTATTTCCTATATATGACATTTGTCAACTGTCACTTTTGCTCCCAAACATTTTATGGAATTTACTTGTTCTATCATTTGACCCTTGGCATACACACGTACGTTTATTGGTGTCTTTGAAAATATTAAAGTTTTCGTTTTGGAAACGTTTAGATGTAAGCCGAACATTTCGCTGTTGTGAACTACCGCATTTATTACATTTTGTAGTTCTTGTGCGTTGCTGGCTATTAAGACAGTATCATCAGCATATCTGATGTTGTTTATGCTGATTCCGTTAATCTTAACTCCGCCTTGGACCTGATCTAATGCTTCTCTAAATATAGACTCCGAATATAAATTAAACAGAAGGGGTGACAAGACGCAACCCTGTCTCACTCCTTGTCAAGTCAAGTCTGGTTCGTCAACTTCAGTTGTTCTCAAAATTTCGATCATCTTTTGATGGTTAACACAGTCAAATGCTTTTCAATAGTCAATAAAACATGCATATACATCTACATTCATATCTCTGCATCGTTGCGTTAACACATTTAAAGCAAACAGAGCCTCTCGTGTTCCCAATCCGTTTTGAAATCCGAATTGAGTGTCACTCATCTGAAACTCGCACTTCTTGTAAATTCGTGTATGTATAATTCTGAGAAAAGTTTTAAGGACATGAGACATCAAGCTTAATATTCGATAATCATCGAATTGTGAGGAATTCGATCTTTTTGATAATGCTACCAATGTTGATTTTAGCCAGTCTGTTTGTATTTTACCTGTGTGATATATCTTATTGAATAGTGCTGTTATTAAGTCTAGGCTTTTACTTTTGTTATCTGCAATTAGTTTTAGTATTTCGACATTGATATTGTCTAGACCGGTGGCTTTTCCATCTTTTTGAGATTTTACTGCGTGAATCACTTCTTCTTTGGTTATTTTTGGTCCTTTTTCATTTATTCGATTATCTGTGGATGGTGGAGAACAAGGTCTATCTCATCAAAAAGAGTGTGTATGTATACTTTCCATTGCTTTAGTTTGTCTTCTGTACCCGTAATTATTTCGTTATTTTTATTTTTTAATATTGTTGCTTGTCTCTTTTTGTGTCTACCTGTCAGTTCTTTTACTTTTTTGTGAATATTAAAGGTGTCGTATTTTTCTTGAAGTGGTTCGATTTCTAGGCATTTTGTTGACATCCAGTTTTCTTTCGCCTCGCTGCACTTTTTTCTAATGATTTTATTGATTCGCTTGTATTCTATTGGGCTTGTTTTATGTTTTCGTCTTACGTCCATGAGGTCCATGATCTCTTGCGTTATCCATTCTTGTTTTTTGTTGTGTTTTATGTACCTGATGTCTTCTTCTTGTATTTTTGTTATTTTTGTTTTTAGAGCAGTCCATGTCACTTAAATGTCTGTCTGTACCGAGTTTTCGATCGTTTTTATTTCTTCCTCAAGCTTGATACTTATTTCTTTTTTCTGTTCAGGGTTTTTCAGTTGAGAGATGTCTATTTTTCTTGTCACTGTTTTCTTTTTGACTTTGAGAAATCTTTTTAATCTAAAATCCATTAAATCATTGGACGGACTGTAAAAAATGTAAATAAAGCCACGCCCATGCGTAAAACAATAACTCTCGGGGAAGTAGTCACTTTAGTAGTTTACTTCGTTTTATTGAGTTGTAATAACGCAAGCGTGGACTTGTTTATTGTGTATCGGATGGTATTGGCTATTAACTACTGTTGTTTTGGTACTTTATTTTTTGCAATACTTTAGCATATACGTCGTTGTTGTAGTTTATTGTTTTAAAAGTTATTAAAACTCAATTTAATGAGTATCGGTTAAATAACTAAAACGTGACGTTTTGGTAATCTACAAAAGATCCTTAGTATAAAAGTCGAAAATTGAACTGAATTTTATCATATCCATACCGTCATAATATATATATATATATATATATATATATATATATATATATATATATATGTATATATATATATATATATATATATATATATATAAAGTTAAAAGAAGTTAACATTTTTTAATTTCCAAAAATAAAACGAACTATGTTTTTAGAAAAGTATTAAAATTGGTGTAAATTATGGACAATCCTCTAAATGTCACCTCCAGGACAAATAAAATTATTTAGAAATCAAGTACTTCCAGACAAGGAGATACAGCAAGAGAAGCTAAAACGATCGCTAATATTGTTCTCAAGGAATAGTCGAGGCTGAAGAGCAGTTCCCATTGTGTTCTGATGAAAGTGATGAATATGAACTATCTGGATATGATTCTTCTGATTCGGAAGGTAACAGTACATACACCACACAGAAATATATTTTCTATGTATTGTTTTAAGGTTTTAGTAATAAAAATACCAAGTCTAATAAGTTTTCCACTCGTCGCCGCAAAAAGGTGAGAAAATCAGATAATAAATCCAGTAATGAAATTGGAGGTACCAATATCCACCAAAATGTTAGTCTTGAAGACAGTGTCAACAGCAATGAAATTGGAGGTACCAGTGCCGAGCATAATATTCCTCTTGAAAAAACTGTCCATTTACTTGACCGTCAAGGTAGTCCACAAGATAAGAGAGAAACTTCCCCACCTGCAAGCCGTAAAAAATCAAAACTGGTTACTAAGGACAAGAGGGAACAGAAAATTAAGAGGTTTAAAGCTGAGGAATATTTAACCCGCAAAGGAAAATTCATTAGTGCGAGACCTTCGAAAGTACCGAGATGCTTGGAATTAAATAAACATAAATGTTCAAGATTAATTCTTGAACTAGAAAGAGAACGAATTTGTAAAGAATTTCGGAGTTTACTGTCTTTAAAAGAGCATTGTTAGTTTATTATAACTCATATTACAATAAAACCAGTAAACAGGAGAACAACAACTGCTCCATCAAGAAAATCAAGTACAAAAAAATATTCTCTGATATCAAATGGAGAGAATCACACTCTATGCAGAGAATTTTTTTAGATACATTCAATATTTCTAAAGGGCTAGTAAGGAAAGCTTTAAAAAATATAAATTCCAGAGGTATACTTCTTCCAGATATGAGAGGAAAAAAGAACCACCGAATAAAATTAAAAGAGAAGACGATACTTTTATTAGGGATCACATACATTCCTTTCCAAGTCTTGAGTTCTATTATTGTCGTAAAAAAAGTATGTATACATTCTTAGAATCAACATTGAATGTTACAATTATGTACAGTTTGTATAAGGAAAAGTGTTTGGAAGCTCAACGTACAGCAGTTTTTATTAAAAAATATCGAAAGATTTTCAGGAAATATAAACTTAAATTTCGTAAACCTAAGAAAGATCGTTGTAAAGTATCCATTGCCAATGAAGAACGTGCTAAATATGGCGAGAATGATGAAGAATCTTATAAAGAACATTGCAATCAGAAAGAAGCTGCTCGAAAACTAAGAGACAAAGCAAAACAGTATTTTAGCTTTTCAGTCAGATCTTTAAGCTGTTCTGTCTACTCCGAAAGGCCCTAGTGGTCCCTTCTTTTATGATAGAAAACTTGCAGTTGCAAGATGAAAGTGCAACTTGTTATGTTTGGGACAAAACGGAAGGACGACGTGGAAGTGTTGAAATTTCAACATGCATTTTTAAGTATATAATGGCCAGACCTACGGTAGAGTATCTGCGAATAATGTCTGACAGTTGTGGGGTCAACAGAAAAATTTTAGGTTTATTTAAAGTCATGTGTATGCATATCCTTAAAGAGCATCCAAATATAAAACAAATTGACCATATATTTTTTGAACACGCATTAATACACGCTAAAATTAAGCAAAAAGAACGTTCCAGTGTACACAATAGAAGGTTGGACTCAAGTTATAAGAACAGCTCGCAATAAAACTCACCCATTTGAAGTTAACCATTTAGTGCACCAAGAGTTTATGGAATTTTGTTCAGATAAATGTAATTTTCGTAGTGAACACAATAGTAATACGAGTCTAACATTTACCATTTCAAACCAGCTACGTCTTATACTAATCAACTCCCCATTTCCATTGCCAAATACAGTGACCTGAAAAAGTTATGCGAAGATCTGCAGATTCTACGTGTATACCATGGATTTAATAAAAGCCTTCCTACCCAAACTCTTATAAGGGATACTCTGCTTGAACCAGATATTTCAGAAGAATCTGAATATGACGACACACCATAATTATATTGCTTTTTGTTGTAATATTTTGGGTTTTGTGTTTGGTCATAGTTTTGTTATTTTCATATTTTTTTTATTTTTTATTATGTTTCCTAGTAGATGTCAATAAAAATTATTATTAGTAGTTAGTACCTATATTATTATTATGTGAAGTATATAAATTTTTTCGCATATAAGCTTTAAATTAATTGTAGGAAATGGTGCTTAACATAAATACTAAAGTTTATTCAATATTTTACATTAGCCTAAGTATATTGGACTAAGAGATAATTTTGCAATAGATAACTAACGAATCTGCGTTTTTTTTTGCTTTGATTAAGGATATTGCAATTTAGATTAAGTTAATTATATAAAGACACATTTATAGAATCTAATACAAAAATGTCGTTTATATAGGTTAATATCCCTATTTTTCACATTAACTTGAAATGTTTTTAGCTCTCCTGTAAAATTTCAATTTTATAGATTCGTTACTTTACCATATGAGGGACGAATATAACTTTTTAATGGACTATCAGTGATGGTATTAATCAGCGATATATGAAGGGGAAATATTTTTCATTCCGCACTACTTGCAACTTCGATCCGAAGAGCCAAAAATAGCGAAACACGTGTCATAGAATGTCAGGTTTATAGGGATGAATATTTCTTTTCGTATATTATTTACATGTTATTTTATACTTTCTTTAAAGTAGAAAGTTGCAAATTATTTTAACATGACGGTGCGTTCTTAGCTATTTTATCAAAAATATCAGGAGCCATTTATTGCCCTTTGGAGAAAAGGCAAAGAGAACTTTATGGATACCCTTCTTTGCTACAAGATAAGGGACAAACTGCTATAACCTGAGAGAATATTAATTTAGTTATTTAACTGAGTCATATCTAAGATTAAATATTAAGTAATAAAAAAGTACTTACATACTGAGACATAACATCTTCCGTCTTTATAAAGGTGAGCTCCGTTTTTGCAGCGACACGCCGAATTTGCACATTCTGAGTTTTCACTTAATACAATTTGACACTGCATATTTTTTTCACATTTTTCTCCTAATCCGGCGGCTAAAAATAATTTTGTATCTGTTAGAAGTAAAAATACTGTAAGACATAAAACTATTTTTAATAAACAATAACCTGATAACGACTATCATTAAATATACCTAAGATTATAAAATAATTCTTAGTTCCCTTCTAAACATAGATTCTCCCTAATATTTTATAGATATCGACTACTTGTATTACGTGTTTCTGTGATTATGAACCTTACTTTATTTATCTTATTTGATATTCATTTCAATCAAGACCAGTAAAACAAAAGCAGTGGTAGTAAGCAAACGATCTAATCTACAAGCTAATATTCATATTTATACCACCCCCATAGAAGACGTCAATAAATTTAAATGTTTTGGCCCAAGGATCAAGTCAATTTTATCTTTTGACAGAATAATTACGCAGCATTTGATCAGCCCCATATAACCAAGCTTTCGTTTCATTGTACGTAACGATGACATCTAGTTTGCGTCCTTTGGCAACAGTAAACTATGGAGGTATTCGGCCTTAGTATTTCTAATTTTCCTGACATTGATTGATTTTGGTTATAGTAGTTCTTTGGCCAAGTTGAGTCTTTTAAAATGATGTAATATTTCTTAAACTGAGGACGATCTCTGTTACCAAAATTTTAACAACTCTTTTACTTTGTTTCGCTACACATGATTTGTTTACATCTTTGCCCTTATATATTTTAGTTTTCCAAACATAACTTAGTAATTTTTTCATGTGCTTTTGCTTTTTAGGTTTTGATGTCAGGAATGTAATCTTCTCTGAAATAAGTATTATAGATCTCGAAACAGTCAGGCACAGGTTCCTATTTGTCAGCTGATCTATTCTTTCTCCTATATTTTGTGTCGTTGATAGATAACAAAAAAAGCTGTAAGTATTTAAAAAAAAAAGTCCCAAAAAGGTATTTGAACCTATTAATGAAAATAGAGACCGAAAGATTGCCGAAAAGAGCCCTCTAGATAGTAAAATGTAGGGCGCAAGTTATAGTACACTGACCGCTAGAATCCAGTATATTCTAACACGAGAAGTCAATAGGAGGTACCGCCTATCAGTACCGAACATTCTAAAACTTTGACATTAATTGCGACATACTAGAACAACAAATTTAGCATTTACAATACTTTATTATGAATCAAGCATAGTAAAACCACATTTTTTCAGTCTGAATATTATATTTTTAATTGTAACTAAATCTTTGCTAGTGTAAATGATAGTTGATTTTAAGTGTTTATGCTTTTTAAAAAAGTGTTTTCCAAAAGAATATTCATAATTCGTAAGATCAAAAGAAAGGCTACGGAAAAGGAGCAGAAAATGGGCGCGAAACCGGCAATGTTAGAAGTAAATTTTGAAGTAGACCAAAGCTCCATTTGGGCTGTTAGAGAGATATTTTGCGACTTGAATTTGTGTCTACTTATTATCAGACGAAAAATCGGTCGATTATCACGATTGTTATATATGATGCATCCAATCAATTGTCTTCTGACAGTAATGCACTTCTGACTTCTGACCCGAGATCACCATTTTTACCATTCTTCTTCAGCCTTCATTTATCCAATGTTGGACATACGCCTCCTCCAATTGCTTCCACGCTTCCCTATCTTTAGCAATTATTATCCACTGCTTTCCAGCTACAACAGTTATATCGTCTATCCATCTCTTTTTAGGTCTTCCCACGCTTCTTTTTGTTTCTCGAGGTCTCCAGAATGTCACTTTATGAGACCATCTGTTGGTGTCTTGTCTACATGTGCTACCCATTGCCATCTCAATGTCGCTATTTTTCCCATGATGTCGGTTACTTTAGTTCTTCGACGTATTTAGGTGTTAGGAATTTTGTCTCTGAGGCTTATATTTAACATGGCCCTCTCCATGGCCCGTTGAGTTACTCTTAATTGTTCTGCCATTTTTCTTGTTATTGTCATAGTTTCCAATCCATAAGTTGCAACTGGTAGTATACAAGTGTCATAGGTTTTTCGTTTTAAGTGAATTGGGATTTTTCTGTCTTTTAAAATGAAGCTCAACTTACCAAAAGCAGCCCATGATAATTTTAATTTCTAGGGTTTGATTTTCCTTTTCGTTTTTAATTGCATGTCCTAGATATATATATTGTTCTACCTTTTCTATATTGATGTTATCTATCGTGATGTTTTCTAGGCTGTTGCTTAATATCTTTGTTTTGTCGAGATTCATTTTTAATCCTATTTGATTCGATTTGTAATTTAAATCTTGTAGCATTGATTTTAGTTCATGGATATCTGTGCTTATTAGTACTATGTCGTCTGCAAAACGCAAATGGTTAAGATATTCTCCATCTATTTTTAATCCAGTTTCTGCCCAATTTAGTTGTTTGAAAACATTTTCTAATGCCAAAGTAAATAACTTGGGTGAGATGGTGTCGCCCTGTCTCACACCTTTGCCAAGGTCTATTTTCATAGTTTCCAGATCAACATCTATTTTTACGTGAAAAGTAGCATCATCGTATATATTCTTAAGGAGGGCAGCATATCTTGAATCTACTCTGGCGTCGTCCAATGCTGTTAAGAAAGCCCATTTCTCGATACTGTCGAATGCTTTGTGATAATCGACAAATGCCAGATGTAGTGGTATGTTGTACTCTATTGTTTTTTCAATAATGGTCCGAATTGTTTGCAAGTGATCGATAGTGCTAAAACCCTTACGAAAGCCTGCTTGCTCCACTGGTTTGTATGCATCTAGTTTAGCTGTCAATATATTTGTTATTATTCGGGTTAGTAGTTTGTAAAGGTGTGACAATTGGTGTGACAATTGGTGTGACAAAGGTGTGACATTGGTCGGTAGTTTTCTATATTTGCGGCATCCCCTTTTTTATGGAGTAGAATGACTTCCGCATTTTTCCATGTCTTCGGTATTTGTTCATCCAATAGGCATTTATTAAGTAATGCTCTTATTGCCTCTTCTAATGCAGTGCCTCCAATTTTTAGCATCTCTGAAGTAATTTTATCTTCTCCTGGTGTTTTCCCATTTTTCATTTGTTTTAGGGCGGCTCTAATTTCTGATCTTATTATTTCAGGGAAGTCCTCTGAGCCCACATTTAAGATATGTTTTATTGGTATACCGGGGTTCGGAATAGTAGAAGTATACAGCTTCTTATAAAATTTTCGGATTTCTCTAACGATCTCTTCCTTATGCGAGCACAATGTTCCACGGTCGTCTTTTATCTTTATGATTTTATTTCTGCCAGTGGATTTACATGTTTTTAGTGCTTTCATGTTCTTATTGTTTTCTATGGTTTCAAGAATCTGGTTTGTTCTATAAACTCTGAGGTCTTTTCGAATATTTTTCTTAACGCTTCTGTTGAGCGCTTTATAGTCCGGGTTATCTCTGTTCGTTCTTCTTCTTTTCTCTATCTGTTCTAGAGTTTCGGGTTTTAGTTTAGCTTCCTTTTGTTTTCTTATTCCGCAACAAAGTTTTTTAGTGACTGTTTGTATGTCTTTAGTTATTTTCTCAGCTAGTTTATCTATATTCTTGTGCTCAAAGGTATTTGCTACTAGTTTTTGTGCTAATTCCTCTTGGTATTTCTCTTTATTACTGGCTAGGATGTCTGCCGTCGGTAAAGGGTTTGTTGTTAATAGTTTTCGTCTTTCTCTCTTTACGTTTATACGTATATCAGCACGAACTAGTCTATGGTCACTGCCGGTGTTAAATTTGTTCAATACCTCGATGTTTTTACATATTGATCTATCACTGGAAAGGATAAAATCTATTTCATTCTTAACCTGACCGTCAGGGCTCTTTCCAGCATGTCCACTTTTTTGTATTTGTTTTTTATAGAACGTGTTCAGGCAAAACATTTTTTCGGTGCTTACGTAATTTGCTAATGTCTCTCCTCGGGTGTTTCTGTTGCCTAGACCGAAATTTCCTATGTAGTCTGAGTCACCTGGTATTCGCCGCCCTATTTTTGCATTAAAATCCCCGGTGATGATAACATAGTGTGTTTTTTCTGGGTTTTTAGCTCGCGTTATATCTTCGTAGAGTTGTGCATTTTGACTCGTCATCTGCAGTGGAAGTTGGAGCATAGCAGTGTATTATCTGTAAACTATATCGTTTATTCAGTTGTATTACAAGATATATCACTCTTTCCGACACTGCTGAGTATTTCACTATCTGGTGTTCTATTCTTCGGTTGACCATGAAAGCCACTCCTCCTTGGCCGTGGTTCTCCTCTGAATTATATTGGTATAGAGTGTGCCCAGATGTTAGGGTGGTCTTTTTCTCTCCTTGAAGTCTTGTTTCACATAAGTTTACAATATCCCATTTAATAGCCCTTAGTTCCTGCTCTAATTCCTCTAGATGGTCGTTCGTTCTCGTGGTTCTATTGTATGTAGCAATTTTAAAATTTTGAGAATTAATTTGTTTATTTTTGTCATGTATTTTCGATCTTCTGCCTCCCCCAGAATCCGTGAGGCAGTCCATAGTGGAGTGGGATTCTGAGATATAAACTCTACCCACCTGGGGTTTTATATTTTTGAATCTCGATTTATGCATGAATATATTGAAGGGAAAATTGCAGTTAAAACGCCACGCTTGCCGAGCGGGTTGGCGAGTTTAGATTTCAGCCGCCCCTAACCTGGTGTCAGACGCTGTTTGCAGCCGTCCATTTTTACCATACCCTATATATATACTACTTGTTTACTTTGTAATCAGTCAGAGGCCTTTTTTAGGTCAATAAATGTCTATCATCATCCATAGTGCCATGCAATATATCGTACGTCGCTATACGTTAATTAATAATGAAGACGATATGTAGTGCCCTTTTGGTAGTAACTCTATTTGTAGTCATATTACCCATTCGGTTGTTTATTTTGTACTCAGCCAGAGGCATTTTCTTAAGTAAATAAATCAAAATGTGTCTTTTAATTAAACTATTTTTATTCATAGTGCCCTATGACATCTCATATGTAGCTATACTTTAATTAATAATGAAGAGACTATGTAGTGCCCTTTTGGTAGTCGCCTTGTTTGTTTTTTTTTATCGTACCAATAACAAAGGAGATGTGGGTTAATAAAATTTTAAACAAACTGTTATTACCGGGAATATTTACTAAATCTTTAAAGGGGTCTAAAATTTTAAAGGGACCAAAAAGGTCCGACCGTCGTTAATTGTAATTTTCTGTTTTTGTGAAAAGTAAAAACAGTATAATGTTTAAAAACACGTAGGTATTTGTAAAGAACTTAAGACATTGAGCAAATGTCTTAGGGTATAAAGTAGAAGAGAAAATATAAGGTATTATTTGAAATAGATTTCTTCAGTAATTTAAAATAATTAAGCACCGAATTCTAAGATCGGTCTCAATCGACCCCGTCTGTCCGCAGTGTGTTATACTCCACTAAAAAAAACATCGTTATCGCAATTTGACTAAATGCTAAGCTCACTGGAATGGCGATATTTAAGAATATTTTTGATAAAAAGCTTAAATGTTTTTACTACTTACGTCCCAAACAAGAGAAATACGTTTTATTTCTGCTAACCATTTCGAAATTTTCTTTGCACCTACAGTATCCATCTTTGTCTGCATCGTTGCCAAAACAAAAGGCGTGGTCACTAGTCTTAGCACAATCTGCATCAACTCTGCATTTTGTATAGCTATCTGAAACAGACAATTAGTTTATTGAAACTAAAATTACAATTTGAATTTAAGATAGATTTGAAAATGCGTAAAGTTAATATAAAATATTATTAATAGACATTGGGATACTTCTTTCATATCAATGTAGATACTAATATTAATAAATGCAATAGATACTATAATAAATCCAATTATTATATATGAAATACAATTGAATCGGTCATTTCAAAACATGCGTAAAACTTTTTGAGCGAAATTGACTCCTCTAAGATAAACTCATGTTTTGTTTTCTACAACCAAAATTGAAGGTATGTGCAAGAACAATACGAGTCCAGGACATATGGAGTCCACATAAATACAAAAGAAATAATTTATGCTGTTATGCATATTTTTTTCTCGCAGTTCCATTAAACAAACTTAGTACCTAATGTAATATTGTCGTTAAGGTTTTTGTTCTAAAAATTTTAAAAATATAAACTTAGTGTCAGTTCAATAGACACTTGTTTCAAGGAAAAAATTGTCATTTTTTGTAATATTAATAACTACACAGGAATTATTAGCAACAAACACATTTTGTGTTCTAGTGTGCCAGAAATTTTATCATTACTTAAAAATCTATTTTCTTTTCAGATGCAGAGGAAAATGTTTCCAAAAATTTTCTAAAGAAGAATTGGCTTTTTGTGTTGAGAAACCAGACAACTTTTCTAGCAAAAATGAGCAAGATATATTCTTGAAGAAAAATATCGAAAAGGCGTCTGTTCAGAGACACCCCGCTGGAAAAGAAGGTGCAATGTTAAAAATTTTTCAATTTACCTAGAATCTTTCAAACCAAAACAAGACCGAGAAGTCTGTAAGAAGGCTTTACTTCAATTTATCAGATATAAGAAAGTTGTATAGAAAGAATTTGCAGCTTGCTTCTTAAGTCTTTGACCCCCGTGATTGCCCCGAGGCCAACACCCGAAATTAAATACCAAATTCCCTGAAGTTCATAAGTTCATTTATGATTCTATTTTGTCATTTCCTTGAAAACAGACACACTATACAGTAAAAAAATGGAGTAGCTTAATGCACACCTATTATAGATGTCAAAACCACGCAGCCTTTTTAAAGAAAAACATCCAATTGTGGATGTTAAGCATAAATACCACGCGAAATTTTTAAAGAACAGTTATCAGATCATTTTAGTAGATTCGAGATTAATACCTATATTATGTGCGAAGAATTGTATACAAAAATCAACAGCCAGTCCCTATAGGCACGTTCCAAACGTACCCCAGAAGCTGAACTAGCCGTTCATAAAAGAAGGCCCAAGAAATTTCACAAGATAACTTTTGATGCAAGAGATATTTTATTTATGTTAACTATGAGTGAACTGCTTCAGTGTAAAAAACCAAGGAATCTGTGTAGTACGTTTATTATGAAGGCCAAGCCAATAAAAGGGCTAATGAAGTTTGTTCCATTATCCCATTATTTTGAAACTTTTAGACCCGACAACGTACAAGAAGTATTTTTGTTCAACGACAACTGTCCTGGACAAAATAAGAACTATACGATGATTTGGTTGTTGCTCTCATTGACAGATACAGGCAGATAATCCATTATTTTCCAATCAGAGTACATTCATTTTTCTTTATGATGCTGAAATAAAAAATTAAGAACAAAATTTATGTGCCAGAACAATATATAACTATTATGGCTGGAGCAGGGACACATGTTTTCATTTTATCGTAAAACTTGGCCAACATATTACAAGCGAAACTGCCTCTCCAATGTTGCCTAGGTTCAAAGGTACCAAAGCAACTAAAAAGAACCTTCTCTTCATCATCGTATATGTCGTTTGAATACGAGAAGCATGCAAAAGGTACAGTTGTGACTCACGATTTCATTGACGGTTTCACTCGGTCATAGGTTTCGTCTTTCTAAAACCAAACGTCCCGTGTTGCTACCAACATCATTAGCTTACCCAAGTAATGCTGTAGTCAGTAGTCCCGAAAAATTGCAAATGTCAAGCAAGTTCAAACCAGCATTTCAGAAGAATATAAACCATTTTACGAGCAAATTCTCCATGGGCCTACCAATGAGCAAGCGATGTAGCCCCTGAGTCTGATAATGAATTCAGTATTGTTTCATATGGTTATATTTTAATGATTACCAGTTTTTGTAACTACTATACTTTCGAAATAAAAATAAAAGTGGTTATATTTCTGTTTTTTTTTTCGATTCATGTAAAAACAGAATAATTTAGAAGAAAATTACAATATCACTTGGGATTTTGAGGTTATCCATTTCATCAATCTTTCAACTATTTAGTTTTTTTGCTCTCCTGTAAAATTACAGCAATATGTCACTCGTACTTTTTTTTAAATGACTGATTCAATTGTTCAAAATATAGAAGTTTATATAAAAAACTGTGGATTTTAAAATTAAAAAAGAAAAAATATGTGTTTAAATAACTGAAGATTAATCGCATTATTAGATAATTAGTTAAGTATAATATGAATATGGTATGAGCCAAGGAGACATAACAGATCTAAAAAAACTACCGTCATATCGGTTGGCTTTCACACATATATAAACTTTTCACAAAAATTATTAAAAAAAGTCTAGACGCTAAGTTAGACTTCTATCAACCTAAAGAACAATCTGGATTTGAATCGGGATACAGCACTAAGGGCCCCTTACTAGTAATAATAAACCTGATACAGAAGTCTGCAGAACACACCATTGGCACTGATATTTGTGGACTACGAGAAATCATTTGACACCATAAGTCATCAGAAAATATTAAAAGTATTGACTAAATGCCGAATAGACCATCGCTACACTAACAGAATTAAAAATATCTGCCAAAATGCCACAGCTAGCGTAAGACAATCTGAACAAGAAAAAAATAAATTCTATATACAGCGAGGAGTACGGCAAGTAGACACGTCTCTCCAAAAATATTCACGACGCTGTTAGAACATACTTGTAAGAAGGCACATTTGAAAGAGCATGGTATCATCATAAATGGAGAGAGAGAAGCTCAGTCATTTGAGATTTACAGATGGCATCGTCCTTATAGCCGATCGTATGGATGATGTAGTAATAATGTTTCAAAAATTATATCACGCTTCCTGAACAACACGCAAATAATAACTAATATATATATATATATATATATATATATATATATATATATATATATATATATATATATATATATATATATAGCGAGTGTTTGCAACTTTAATTTTGTCGCTTCTCGCATCCCAATCGCCATAATTTCTTATCGGCCCAGTCTCCTTCTTCAAGACCTCTATTTTCCATTTCTATATGAATATTGGATATCCATTTCTTTCTTGGCCTTCCCCTTTTATTTCTCTGTGTAGGTCTCCAGTTCCAAACCTTTCGTGGTATCCTTTCTTCGTTCATCCGTCTTAGGTGTCCATACCATTTTAATTGTTTTTCGGCTATCGTATCCATTATTGTGTTCTTTACTTTCAGTCTCTCTCTTATGTTTTCATTTCTTATGTGTTCAAACAAAGTTAACCCGGAACATCTTCTCCAGTACATCATTTCCGTTGAGAGGAGTTTTTGTGACATATTATTGTTAAAGACCCACACTTCTGACCCATACGTCAGCACCGGCTGAATCATAGCCTGATATATATTTTTCTTTGTTTTCTTAGTTAAAGTTTTATTCCACAGGATCGGATGTAGTGTTTTTATCATGTTTTTTCCTTTTCCTATTTTTCTTTTTATATCTTTGTCGTCTCTCCCGTCTTCGCTTAGTGTAACTCCGAGATATTCGTACTGATCAACGTTTTTAATTAATCCGCTTTCTGTTTCCATGTCTTGACCGATGCCTCCTATATTCATGTGTTGTGTCTTTTCGGTATTAACCTCTAATCCCCATTTTTTGAATTCGTCTATTAGTTTGTTTATCATGTACGTCATATCTTGTAGGTCCTCGGCAAGAACTACCTGGTCGTCTGCGAAGAGGATTGTATATATAGGAGTGTCATTTACCCATATGCCCATTGGGCTGCATTTTCTCATTCAATGTTTTAAAGCATTACCAAGATATATTTTTAAATAGGGTTGGGGAGAGGCAAGAGCCCTGTTTGACACCCTTTGTTTGGGTGAAACCCTTGGAAATTTGGTTTTCAACCTTAATATAATCTTGGTTATTTGAGATACAGTTTTTTCTTTTCTTCTACCAGTTCTAATAAACCTTCTGTCCACCAATAATTTCTACGTTTTACTTTTTCTTTCGTACCTAGAGCTTCTAATGCTGCTTCATGAATTTTGATTTTCAAAGTCTCATACATTTCTTCCGCTGTTCCGTTTATTTCTTCGTCTAATTTTTGTGCCAAACGTAGTTTATAAAGTAAACTTGTGGACTCATTTTTTAAGCTGTCTATGTTATAGAGCCGTGAGGATTCTTTGTTTGTCTGTTCTTGGGATTTATTTTGTTTAATATATCTTATTTCCACGGGTGCTTTTACTAGTAGGTGATCCGATCCACATTCTGCCTCTCTCCAAACTTTTACATCGTAGGGTCTTAAAGATATCTCTTGTTTAACTACTATATAGTCTATAATTGACTGCAGTTTTTTTGTCTTTTGAGTCCATGTATATTTATTTATGTCTCTATGTTTGTAAAATCCATTCAGTATTTTTAACGAATGTTGTTCGCATACCTCCAACCATCTTGTTCCGTTCTCATTTACCAGATCTTCTCCGTGTTGTCCAATTATTTTGTTGTCAAGAGCTTTACCTACTCTTCCGTTCAGGTCCCCTAGCAGGACTATTTCTTGCCTTTTTTTTAATTTTATTTAACTCTTCTGAGAGTTTGGCGAAGAACATGTCTTTAGTGTTTGTATCTGAGTCGTCCGTGGGTGCATAGATGCCAATTATTTTTATGTCTCTCCCCTTTGTTGTAAGGTCTACTGTTATAATTCTTTCATCTATCGGGTTCCAGTTGGTAATACATTTTTCCATGTTTTTTCTTATCACGACCGCTACTCCAGCTTTGG